CCCGTCTGCAGGCCACTGTATGTGACTGGGAGAGGTGCTGGCAAAGATGGAGCTTTTCATCATCTTCTGCAGTCTGTTGCAGACATTCCAGTTCACTCTACCAAAAGGAGTTAAGGAAGTCAACACAGACATTATCTTTGGGAGCACAATCATGCAACCCCATCCATACAAGCTCTGTGCAGTTCTTCGCTAGGTTACAGGGTATTACAGATTTGAGAAAGAGGCATTGCCACAGGTTTGCTAGTGTGCCAATCTGTTGTGCAACCTTTGTGTGTTTCACTTCTAGCTCAAATTCAGTGTAAATCTTTCCTTGTTGTTTTATTTGTCTAAGAAGCTGGCCCTGAAAAATACTCTGATTTTCCTGTGTCTGGAAAATCTCTGTACGTTTTTTTTTTTCCTGCTGTATTACAAATGAAATAAACATAGAAAATTATTATGGTGTCTGGTCTTACTAGAAACTCAACAGGAATCTTAACTGGAGAGAGAAGAAACGTTAAAGCCAGGTGTTGGGGGGGCTTCCCCTCATTCCCATGCATTCTCAAATCTAGAGTGGGGTATAGAAATGCTCTTCCCAGAGGCGGCGGCTCTGGGTATTGCCAGAGCCCCTCGGTATGGTTGCATGGGGGAACAGGGCTGTGGAGGGATGCCTCAACTAGATGTGAGCCAGCTGGTTTGTCTGTTAAGCTGACAGCCACGTGGAGACGATAGCTTGAATCTGGAAGTAACAGAGCTACAACAGTGCAACCCGTCATTTGAGTGTGAGGCCAGCAACTTGGGCTGTGAAAGTGAAGGCAAACCCCTCATACTCCCTGATGAAGAATTGCAGAGGGGAGCCCCACTGCTGGTGAAACAAAGTGGGTGTAAATGGTAATGGACTAGTGGGCTGGCCTGAAAATGGTTTTTTTGCATATATTGTTGTGTATTTGAGAGGCATCTCTATGAAAGAGGGAGTCCTCTCACACAGTGGAGTTTGTAATGATAATGCTGTACAGTAGTCTAGGCTGGCCATGTCTCTTTATTGATGCCTGAAGCATAGTTAAGGGGACTGCTTGCGGTTGTGTGAAGCAAAGCTTGGCACCTGCAAAGGAAGGACAAGGCAGGAGAAATTTATGTAGTGTTTCCTGAGAGCTGTGTGAGAACTGAACTTCTTGAGAGCTTTCTGTGAGCACAGGGGCAGTTGCACACAGCCTTCAGACAGCTGAGCTAAGGGAGACTTAGCAGAGCTGCTGAGTTAAGAGTGCCTGTTAGTAAGGCATGCTCATCAGGGGGAAGAGTGCTGCAAGATGCAGCTGGCAGAAGCAGGAACAGTGCCCAAGCAGGGCTGGTGAAGAGCAAGTGCCAGAAACCACTCACACTGTGAGTCTGTCCTTGTTACCCAGCAAGATTTAAAAAGCAAGGTCAGAGTGAGGGCTACTAGTCAATGTAGCAAATGCTCTGTTGCTCTGCCAGTTTCCTTCCTTAAGGAAAAGGTCTACAATTGTTACTGCAATTATACTTCAAGGCTTAGTTGTCCTTGCCTTGTTTATCCACCATGTTAGAGTTTTCTTTCTTTAATGCTGTTGGTTAAAAAAATGTTTTTGTGAAGGAGCTCAGTATCACAAGGTTCAGTACTCTCTTCTCAGGCTTCTGGGTAGGGGCTGAAAAGGATGTTTTTATCATGACTCCTATAGATTTGGAGCTGGCACTTGCTGCTGCTGCAGCTAGTCAGAGCTTGGCAGAAGAGATGCGCAAGCTTGTGTGGGTCAAGCAGAACAATCTGATGTGGCTCTCCTGCTCTCTAATCCGTATATAGCTCTGTGATGCCACGTTGTGTTGTGTTGATGCAGATTCTGTTGGGAGTGGAGGGTGGGTTGTGCACTACTGCAAAACTAGGATTCAGTTTTTCTACTAATATAAAGATGATGTTGCAAAAATGGGTGTAATGAAACAATTGAGTAGCTGGTGTCTGCTGTGTTGACACCCAAGTCTCAGGCATCTCTGTGAATATAGGACATATGAGAGCCTGAATAAGAGGTAGGGTTTAGGAACAGGCACACAGGATCCGTATTGCTTTAAAGCTTTTTTGCTTAGGGTCTCTTAAAAAACATACCAATGGAGATACAAGTCCTTTTACAAATTTTTACAAAGAACTTGTATCTCCATTGGGAAATTTTTTTAAGAGACTCTAAGTGAAAAAAGGTTTTTATATGTTGCTGAATAGCATTTATGAATCTGCATTTCTTCACCTTTCACCACACCTTAGAGGTGCTCTGTGGACCCATTGGGGTCCAGAGGCTACAGGTGAAAGATGCTGGACTGGATTGCATTATTTCTGCTGTTGATAGCTCAATATTAGAATTTCATTTCCCAAATGGGAAGGTAAAAACCGTGGTAGGCAAAGGGAAATGAGGTAGATAAAGCAAGAAACTAGGTAGCACTGGAAGAGTTTTCACTCAGAAGCAATCTGGTCCATTCAACTCCACGTTTTTAAATAGACCTACAAGTCTTGAGCTGTTTGAAACTTCTGCTTTGTAGTAGTGGGACAAACTTCAGTAAGGAATATTTTGTTCTCATCTCTTTGATTGCCTAGCACAACATGCTGTGGCTGTCTCATTCCTAATTTCTGTCCCAAGAAGTACTGAACTTTCATAATATTGTTACCATGCCCAGTGTTTTAAAAACCAATATTCAGACCTGTGATTCACAAACTGATGTCCAGTAGTTAGTACTGCTCCTAAGTGCAACACAACCTGCTCTTCCAGATTGTTTGTCATGCTGCAAAATGGTCAAGAAGAAGAGCAAACGTACCTCAAATTTAAAAACAAACAAGAAAATGAAGAGAAAACAGTGTAAGAAAAATAAGAAATCAATAGAAAGGGGTGAGTATATTGTTTAGTTGGGGTCACCTGGCAATAAGGGATGGTGCAGTGGTCCTAGTTCTGCTTTTCATGTCCCAAGAGTTAGCAATGCAGTGAACATCACGTGAATTTTTTTGTTTCCAAACTTGGTCCAGTTCTATCTGGTAAGTTTTTACGTTCCTTATTAAAGAACAAGATTAAGGAGTCTAAAAAAAAAAAAAAAAAACACCCAACAAAATTACATAAATGGCTATAACATCTGCAGTTGTTTTCTCAGAAGTGGATCGATGCTGCAGCCTGACTCTATTGTGTGAGATGATAACAAACCCCGCTGCTGCTGCTTCTTTGACCAGCCTGAGGAACTTCTTGACCAGTGTGCTCTTTTAGAGCTTTTCTGCCAACAGGATGGTTCTGCACCTCCAAATGGCATAAACTGACAAATCTCTGGTAGCATGATCCTGTCCACAGAAGGGTTTTCATCAGTGCAGTGATATCAGCATAGAGACAAAGGTTTTTCACATCTTGAACCAATAGAGCTAAGTCAGCAAAATTTTAAGCACTGGCCTGAGCTGTGCAAATCAGTGTTCAAATATTTCATTGTGCTAGGAGTTGCCACATGTAAACAATCTTAACTTTAATAAAGTACAATGTGAGAAGTACTGAAAGGCTTTCATAAATATCTAATCTGAGTATTTAAAAAAGCCTTACAATTAACCTTAAGCTGGTCAACAAAGGGATTTAAGTTTTCATATGCAGTTGACTGACCCACCCTGCTATTTTTGATAACACCATGTTCTTCAGTAATGATTAGTTTGTGATCTAAATATTGCCTATATTATTACAATATTAGTATGATATTTATTAATTTACCAATTTAAATGTCTTGATTTTGCTCTTATATGAAGCCAAATGCAGGGCAGATGGACAGTATTTATTGGTACCATTACTGATAAGTTTGCGTAAACAGGGATTGTAGTTTCAGTTCCACAGCTGGATTTTTAGTTTTTAAAAAAATAGTGAGAGTCTTTGCATGAAAGGGCAAATTTATCAGAAACACAAAATTGAGCGTGTTCTCCAGCAAGACCTGTGTACAGGTGAAGGCTTAATTCGTACTTTTTCATCTTTTGGCTGCTGGATACCTGCATCCTCTCCCTCTGACCCCCAGCTGTTATTTGTTAAACAACAGATACTATTCTCATTGCCATTTGCTGGGAAAGATATTGAGGCCAATGTTGGGGATTCATGGAACCAGATGAGTGGATAAGTTCCATTTTTGTTTGCCTCTTGCAGCGCCTTTCCTGCATTTTGTATTCCTTTCAGTTCTTCCTTCTTCTCTTCATACTTTGGGGTTATAAAATTTGTTGGGAGCTGGATAAAACAATTCCTAGAAATGTCAAACTCAAGTGTAAATACACCAAGGAGAAGATCTAGAAACATATGAGAAGAAAACTACGTTTTAAACAAAGGACACTTACTCTTGGTTGTGGCAGTAAATTCTATCAAGTAAGTTTCAAGGAATAAAACAATTAGATACAGTCTTTTGTATAGTTTGTTGGGGGAAAAACCCCAAAACGCCCTTGGAATACTGAAATGCCTAAATCTTCCTCTGGGAGGAGAATGAAGATCAACCAATGCAGGAAGGGATTAAAGGTATTTAAATTGATGCTGATCATCTATTAACTGGAAACGCAATTAGAAATATCATTTAAGTTATGCTGCTTTAAATTAACCCACCTTGATGTCAGCAGTCTACTTGTACTGCAAAAGTACTGCAGAACACCTCAGTACCTCAAAATGTGATTCCTTATACTCTTAAATGGGCATCTGAAGTTAGCGCATATTTGTGACAGTTTTCGCTGTAATTGTTTATACCTCACGTCTGTGTGCACAGCATTGTGGAGACAAGGCTATCACAGGTGGGCTAGAAAGGAGAGGGTGATTTCTGCTTTACCCACCTCCTCAGCTGCTTTTGCTACATTTAATACACAAAGGGGAATCTGTAGATTGGTCACATAAAACTCATGAGCTAATGTTTTCTTCTTAGAAACATGTAAGAATACATCTGCAATGAGTTTGAATTGTAAGATACGTGATAAATAACATCACAGACACTGGCAATATTGGCTGTCTGACATTTTAGGAACATCTTGATCTTTAGTAAATGAGACTTTAGATAGAAACCTGACTTCAAGCTGTGTTATATGTAAGAATAGATTTGATGCTCTCTTCTCAAGATGTCACCCCTGGAGCATCTGCGAAGGGAAAATGACTGGTTCATCATGTTTGATATAAATGTACTGGTTCTCACCCACATTGTTCTGATGCTGCTTTTTTCTACAGATGGCCGAATTAATGG